TTTTCCAGTGTCTTAATCATTGGAAATAATCAATTTCCAATTGAGCAATAGATACATTGTCAACTCTGTATACAAGAATCGGCTCAGATATTCAGAACATACTTCATTAATCAAATATACATTCTACTTTTTTTTTTTTTAATTATTATTATTATTTAGTTATAGTTTCACTTGGCATAAAAAAATAAAATGGTAAATTACGATCACCCCTGAAGTAAGGTCACATTATAAAAAAACATTTTTATTTGAGTAATTACTGTCACCCATCAACAATGAATCTTCTTACACATCTGCATTTATGGTGTTAAATTAAAAAAAAAAATCTTTTAGATTACGTGGAATGTTCTCTAGTTTGTACTCGTTTTGTGCAAAAATGGGGCAGTTTATATGCACCACAGTCTGATATTTACAAGCCAAAAAACACATCTTATGATCATCTTGTTTCAAAATGTGAAGCTCGAAGGGTTAAAATGGTACAAGCTCAAGATTATTCCACATAATCTAGAAGATTTCACTAAATTTGACATTGCAAGGGTGGACATTAAAGAAGATTCATAATTGATGGGTGGTCGGTGTTACCCAAATATGAGAGGGTCTTTTTTCGTAATTTAACCTTATCTAAGAAGTAAATGTAATTTATCCAAAATAAAAATATGTAAAAATCATACCGACAATTGACACTTTGCAGTTTGAACCCAAAAAAATAATTATAAAAATATCATTAAAAAATGGAGAGTGGATAAAAGGGTGTTCGTCAAATCCCGATTCACTACACTAATTAATGGTTTTATTCATTTTCCCTTTATATTTGAACAAATAGTTGTTTGAAATTGTAGAGGGGTGATTGCGATATTTTATTTTGTATACGGGGGTCAAAAGTAATATTTAAAAAAAAATAAAGTTGATGGTTTAAACTTAAAAAAATAATGTTCTTATTTGTTTTCGTTTCAATTGTTTTGTAGCATTCAATATACTTTAAAGTCTAAAGATTTAGAGCTTTAAGATTCGTGAAGACGAACGAAGAGGAGGAGAGCGATTGGAGAAAGAAATATGCGTTAATGCAGGAGTTTTTAGCACAGAACATCACTGTGTAATCTCTAATTGCTACAAAAGTTCATGTGTTAAAACAATTAGAAAGAATTCCCTATAAAAGTTAATCAGAGTCAATAAGGTCCTTGTGAATTAGTCGTGTGATATGCTCAATAAATGTGCGACTAGATTCGGTATTTTGTAAAGACCCAAATAGTCTTTAAATAATAAATTTATAAGCCTCAAAATAAAGTTTTCAATACTTTCATTTCAGTCCCTTCAAGTTTCAGAAAAACCATCTTCTCCCTGAAGTTAGGGGACTGAATTGCAATTTTCCCATTTAAGGCAAAAGGCCGAATAAAAAGGAAAGGAAAAACTCTGACGGCTCTTCAGTTTCGGTCGCAGCCCCTCCACTACGAAAGGTCAAAGAGAGGATTCAAATAATTGTAGATCACGTTTAAACTCATTATTCTCTCTAAAATCCGGAGCCTCAAGCTCTCTCCAAAATAAAAAAAAAAAAAAAAAAAAAAAAAAAAAAAAAAAAACCCAAAATAAAAAATTCCACGAAATGAAAGTATTGAAAACTTGAAGGGACTGAAATGAAAGTATTGAAAACTAGTAGCCTTTCGGGCGAGGGCACGTCGAAGATGAACTTTTTTTATTCTTTTATTGTTGTTTTTTTTAATTATGTTATATTTTAATAAGGGGGGTATTTCAATAGGCTTAGTTATTAATTATTTTAAATCGAGACCTTTTCTAGCAATTAGACATTACATAAGGGGTCAATGCTAATACGTCGTCAATATAGTCAAAAAAATTTATGGATAGTATATTGAGTTATTTTATTCAATTTACAATTATATATATTTACTTATTTTATATAAATAAAATAAATCATAGGTTTTAAAAAAAATTAATGGTAGTGTCAGTGTGGTATTATTATTTCTTTAGTAGTGCATAATGATTGTTTGATTGGCTATAAAGAGAGTTGATAATATTTATTATATTCAGAAAAAAGAAAATATTATAGGCTGCGGCTATATGCAATACTCATTCCACTTGTGCAAGACCAAATTAAAGAAAGATTCCAAAAGATTCTGTTTTATTAAGATGGAATGACAAGTATGCCCATAAATTAAATTGACTTTTTTTTCTCATGTAAGACCAAATACAAATAATGAGAAAAAAACAAAAATCAACACCAAGGTGTCGAAAAACTAGGCTACAAATCGACACTTACGCGTCGAATTTCATAGGTAAAAATCGACATTGACATGTCGAATTTGTAGCACAAATTCAAATGTCGAATTTTATACCTCAAAATCGACATCTAAATGTCGAATTTTATACCTCAAAATCGACATCTAAATGTCGATTTTTACCTGTAAAATTCGACCTGTACATGTCGAATTCGTTTGCGCGGGATTTTTTTTGGAAAATCGATATTCTAGCTAAAAAAACCAATAAATGCATACATTCTTGGGTTCTTGCATCGTAGAATCTTCTATTTTGATGTCTTCTGACTCCATACTTGCCATCTTTGTAAGATTTGTTGAGTTTTGATGATTTTGAATTTCTAGGTTTTGTGGGTTAATGGAGGAGGAAGGAGAAAGGTCTTGTGAGTTTTGGAAGATGGAGAAGATGATAGTTGGTCTTGTGGTTTTGTGGTCTTGTGATTGGGTTTTTTGTGTTTTTGAATTTTTGGTCTTGCATATTTGGAATTTTTTATTTTTTTAATAAATAAGGGTATTATAGTATTTATACATTGAAAATTTTAATTTGGTCTTGCACAAGTGGAATTAGTGTTGCATATAGCCGCAGCCAATATTATATAATTCTAATTAAAGAATAAAGAAAATACAAAAAAAAAAAAAAAAAAATTGGAAAGTGCTCAGATGCGCTTAATAATTCTTCTTGATTTTCAGAGAGAGTGGGCAACCCAATGTCCACGTAAGCATTAATCATCACAGCACAAATATGCACCAGCCGGGAATCGAACCCGGGTCTGTACCGTGGCAGGGTACTATTCTACCACTAGACCACTGGTGCTGTTGGTACTTCGTTTATGTATTTATTATATATTCGCTACTTGGAATTTATATTTTATTTTCCAAAAAAGATATTATTAACTATTAACTAACTCTTTTAATAAATCAACTGAGTACTGAGTCCAAAAAATTCATTATATTTTATTGATTTAATTAATTGAGCATGATTTTTAATCGACTAATAATATTAAATGACATTCATGATTTTCTTACATTATTATGTAAGTAGAGATTTTGAGTTAAAAATGATTTATATTCTGCTCTATAAAATATGAAATATTAAATAAAGTTGACCGTTGACCGGGTGGACAAGTTTGCCAGGGACAATTTTATTACTAAGGGCTGTTTTGGTTTCTTGGAAGAGTTTTTGTGGGATTTGACTATTTCGGTCGGATTACACTGTTTGTAAAAGGTAAATTGGTACGTAGCTCAGGTTTGGTATCTTTGATTTGAACATTTGGATTGTGGCATCCCTTATCCCTCGCGGTAGCATTAGTTTTGTTTGATTGATTCCGGATTTAGTGTGAAATTTTAAAATTGCCCCCTTGGGGCCATTTAAAATATTATGAAATTTCTTTATTTTTGCAGGCGGCCACTTCTTCAAAAAAAAACCATACGTTTTGATTTTTCCCCAAATAAAAAAAAACTTACCCTAACTCATTCATCTTTTCTCGATTGTGTGGCATACGATTTGCTCATCTCAAAATCACATCGATTGTTTGTTCCAATAGTTCGTATTGACCGTATTGTTCACCATATATCTCGCCATGAGTAGCAGCAATTCTTCTGGTGTGAGGGCACGTGGAAGCGGTTCTACAGGTTGTGGTCGTCATTTTGGTGAAACAGAGCCGCTATTTTGCTACTGTGGGTTGAAGTTATCAGTAAAGACGTCGTCGACGAGTGCCAATCCAGGTCGTCGGTTTGTTTCATGTCCGGAACGAAGGAGGGTAATTTAGTTGGTCAATTTTCCATATTCATTGTTAATTAATTATTGGGACTATTAGTGAGAACCCCCTCTAACATTATTTTAATAAGGATGGATCCAGCTCATTTTTCTTTATTAGTGAGAAACCCATTCTTTTTGTATTCTCAAATTTACCCTCCCACTATTCACTACTCATTATCCATTAGTTTGATATATATTTTTTAATTTTTTATATTTTAATTTTAATTTTCGTTTTTTTATTTATTTCTTCTTTAAAAAATAATTTTTTAAAAAAAAAAAAAATTTATATTTATTTTAATATTTTTCTTTAAATATTACTTTTCTATATTATTTTAGTTTTCAGTTAAAACAACTATATGTCGATAAAACGACTATTATAAAATGACTATTATTAAAACAATTGGTATTAAAACAATGATACATCAGTTTCACAATTTATTAAATTAATTATATATTATATTATTTCCATTATAAGATTAACTAATTATTTAATTAAAACATCTCCAAAACAACTATTTGTTAAATGAACTATTTATTCAAACAAACTAAAAAGTAATGAAAACAATAATATTGTTGTGCAAAAACAACTATATTACTATACGAAAACAACTATATTGACTCAACTACAAATTATTGAAATCCTCAAAAGCAAAAGCAAAAGCAAAAAAACACACCAAAATTCCAACAAAAACGACACGCTATTACGCGTAAGTAAATGAATTAGGGGGTTTTTACGTATTTCTTCTCCGGGTCCACCTCCAACAACAA